AACCCTAAACCCCTGAACCCTAAAGCACCAGACAGTCCTTGGCATCGGCCTCTGCGGCACCCTCCGCGCCCACCGAGGACGTGGGCTTCACGGGCTCGGCCTCCATCGAGGCAAAGGCGACGGACACCGGGGGAAGCGGCATGACGACGAGGCAAGAGACCTCAGAAGTACTAGGGTTTAGGGTTTAGAGTTTAGGGTTTAGGGTTTAGGGTTTAGGGTTTAGGGTTTAGGGTTTAGGGTCTACGGCTCCATGCTGACATCGGAATCGCTTCAGCCCCTTGCTCGGTAGCGTGCCGAAATCGCTCCCGTAAGCTCCAGGCCGGAATGGAACCCGCGGATGCCGGATCTTTGAACCCAGGGGCAGCTGAAATGGCGGCCGTGGATCACACACGGTTTAGGGTTTAGGGTTTAGGGTTTAGGGTTTAGGGTTTAGGGTTTAGGGTTTAGGGTTTAGGGTTTAGGGAGAGATTGGTCTCGTTGCCAAGTCGTGCTTTCGGGAAACGGACTTTAGACGTACAGCGAAATAAGAACCATCTTCCACCCCCTAATCTCATTGAGGCCCGCCACCTACATGTCCTTTGTGCCCACGAGCAGTCGTCAGTACGAGCACAAAGGCCAGGCTTCGGACCGCTCTTCGGCGATGAGGCACGGCACTAGCCTGGCAGCGTAAGCCCTAAACCTTAAACCAAAAACCGCTATAGCGGGCTTGCACAGGTGGTTTCTGCGAGCTATCATCTGCCGGATCATGCAGGGGATGTCACTTCAGGTCACTTCTATCTCCTGTATTTTGGGGCAGCGGGGAAGGAGTCTGGCTGTGAGTTTCTGAAAGTCTTGGCTCAGCCTTGACATTGCAAACCCTGGCCCAGACGCACTTTTGAGCATGCCTCCGAAGGTGATAATGACAAGTTCTACGACACCAACAACACGGCACCAATCGCTGCGCTCCTGTAGCCATGGTAGCCCTGACCTGGAGGGACAGACCTGTCACTATAAATGTTAGGTTAGGCTAAAGGTTTAGGGTTGAGTTCGGGCCAGTCCGGGTAGGAGTGTTTAATATAACGGCCTTAATGGGTCTCACAACATGCTGACTTCTGAAGTCGAGCCACGGAGCCTTGCATCCGAGAACAGGACGCAAGCCAACAAAACCCAGCCCCAGCAAGCAAGAACACTGGGGCAGGTCACGTCGCAACTGAGGTTCAAGCGTCCGCTTGTCCCAAGCTCTTGCGACCACCTCTCAAGGTTGCATGTCACTTCTGACGGATGCTGCCAAGCCAGGA